CCAGGCTTCTGGAGAGAGAGCGGCCATTCACTGAGGTGGAGACGGAGGTCGAGGAGTGAGTTTGGCAGGGAATGTGTGTGTTCAGACTGCAGGCTTGTGGTTTGAGGTGCCCGGGGATTACGGGAACGTCTGTGGGAGGTGGTTGGGAGGCAATGGCTAACTTGAAAGGAATCGTGGGTGACTTCCAAGCTCAATGGGGCAGAAGGGGTTTCTCAGGGCACTCAGAGCCAACGGTGCTGAGAAGGCAGTCACGGGCTGGGCAGCTTTTCCAGCCTAGTGCGAGACTGGCACTAAATGGCCCAGCTCATGCTTGTCAAGCAAGAGCTCTCCATATGCACAGACGAGCAGGCAACCATATTCCAAGATTTGCTCCCGGGGGTGTATCCAAACCACTCTGTCCCAGATCTCTGGAAGACACGCTAGTGCCTAGTTTGGGCTTCGGTTTAGCCAGCTTTTCAAACTTTATGTTAAAGAGATTTAGAAGCCTCTGCTCAAGTGGGAGAGCAGAGCACCTTTCGATGCGCTTTTGGGGATCTCCAGGTTGGAAGGCAGGCGATCGTGTAGTTTGCAGGACCAATCATCTGGAGGAAACACACGAATGGGGCCCTGGAGGGGGTTTACCATGATGTTTTTGCTGGTGGGGCGGGGGGTGCTGCCCTACTTCTGAGACGCATAGCGTGGCCAGCACGTAAGCAGGACTAGAACCCAGTCACTAGGCTCGTGCGGCCAGTCGGGTCCCGCCAGCCAGGGTGGGGGCTGAGAAACAGAGGTGCCGTTGGCTGCACGGTGTGAATCAGCTACTAGCTCAAGCACGCGTCTCCCGAGCCTCTTTCCTCATTTGTACAACGGGTGTTGTGCTTTTCTTCCTTACCAGCACAGAGGTGAGAGCACCTAGTGGCCTGTCCACCTTATTAGACACAGGGAGCAAAGCGGTTTCCAGGGTGGTGCTACCTTTGAGGACTTCTCCAAAGAAGGGGTCAAGGCAAGGTGTTCTGGCTGAAGGGTGAGCAGAGGACGTGGCTTCTTCACCCCTCCACCGCCACGGAGAGGAGGGAATGTCCATTCCCCCTCCCAGGAAAGAAAAGTGGGGGGGGGGGGAGGGACCCCTTAGCTTCTCTCTGCACCCCTGCCAGGGGGGAGGAGTGCTTCCCCGGGGGCGGGGGTGTGGGAGAACTGCCCATGCGCTTCGCTCCCTGCACCCTGGCGCCTCCCTCCTGCGGAGCAGCCAGTCGCAGGCGCTGCCCGCAACTGTCCCCCTTCTCCTGTGTGGGGTAGCTCGGTCTTTTTAATTCTGAAGTGAAGTTTTAGCAAGCCCATCTGGCCTCAGGTCTAAAACAGTATTCTCCTTTCAGCCTTATCAGTAAAAAAGCTGGCATGCTTATCTCATTTGACTATCTCCTGGGCCTTATTTCTCAACTATTCCGAACTTGGGAGGGGAAGAAAGAGGTATTTAAAGCCTCTCTAAACCTAAATACTTTCCAAGGTAGGAATGGGCATTGTCAAGTTCTTTGAGGTTTTTGAACTCTTTAAGAGAAAGCATGCATGATCAGGATGCAGGGGCTAACTGAGGATCCATTTGCTTCGCTCTTGTCTGGAACCATCCACACGGCTCCTCAGGAGCGGCCATACGTGCGTGTGTCTGCTTTAGGAAACAATCTTAGGAAACAATCGAATCCTTTGTGAGGTCAGTTTGTTGACAAAACATTTTTTAATTATAGGGCCCAACTTGGGACTGTGGGGAGCGGTCCTCGGGGGGAAGGGGTTGCCTCTGGGGGCCCTGAGAGTGCCCGAAGCTCACCCCACATTGGTGCTCATCACTCAGGGCTGGACTGTCCATTTGCTAGTCTGTCTCCCTCATTACGCCCCACAAGGACTTATTATTGTTTTTTGTACATGGTAGGTCTCAAGACACGGATGAACAGATAGATGCATAAATAAATGGAGGGATGGTCAGAGCCTCAGAGGAGGAAGCTGCAGGGAGGCACAGAGGCAGACAGCACCTCCTCTCCCCCCCACCCCCCGCAGAGTCGGCTCTGGCCCCGCCTGGCTCCTCCTCCTCGAAGGCCTCCTGCTGCCAGCTCCCAGGCACAACCACCCGGGTCCCCCCGCAGTGTCCCCACCGACCTCCCCTGGCTGGCCACACGTACTCCTCGAATGTGATAACCGTCTCTACAGTCTCTGGCCCAGATGGAAAGCTAAGCGTCCTTAAAGAATGAGATCCACAGAAACGCACAGCCAAGGCCAACTCTTTCTGAGGTTTGCCTGTACTGTCTGGCTAGTTCAAATTCTTTCGCTGGGACACATTCGCTTTAACAGACACATCAAACAGCTGAAATCCCTGCCTGGTGAGGGAGCCGGAGTGGGCTTCGCAGGTGGACTGTCCTAGGTGCTGGCACTGTGGCCCCGGCCAGGTCCCCCTGGGTCCCCGGGCTTTAGTGCCGGATCCTTAAAATGTGCCTAACGATCCCTTCCTCAAAGGGCGAGGGCACAGATGACACATTTTCCAAAAACAGAATGTATACTGTCGGGGTCACAGGAGTATTTCAGGTGACATATGGACGGACACTTAACAAGATTTTTTTGATATGCCTTAGAGAAAAAAACTGGACTGAGACGTCAGACCTGTGATTCTGTCAACGTCATTACTTAGGACGAGGCTAAAGCTGGTACCGACGTCAGGTCTGAGCCTATTTAAAGAAACACAGCAAGTACAAGAATAGCACAGATGGTAGGAGGGTGTGGCCAAAATTTTTGAAGTGGAACTCGAAAGCCTGTTCTTTGAGAATAGAAAGTCCCTAAAATTCCTGCTTGCCAGTAGTAGGCGCTCTAGAAACACCGTGGGTTCCGGTCAGCGGCCCACCAAACCGGGGTGCCTGGAAAAGCACCGAAGGACACCCCAGCCTGGGGGGGGGGGGGGGGGTGAGGGGCAAAGCCGGAAAGAGTTAAAAGAAAGGGGTCTGCGGTTTCCCCGGCCCATCCCCCCCGCAGCTAATCTGTCACCTAATGAAGAAGCGGCCGGCAGCAGTGAGCTGGCTGGCAGTTCACTTACGGCAAACTGATTAAGAATGTTCAACCAACAGCAGACTGTAGACCTTTCCAGAGAAAATAAATAGAGTGTAGACTGTATGCAAATGTGTTTGTCACTTTGACAGCACGTCTCAATTAAGGCATCTCGCGGCTGCGGGTAGGCTCTGTGGCTGCAGCTGTAAGGGAGAGCCCGCTGCATGGCTGATACTTGGGGCTTGACCTTAATCCGCATGCATGCATTAAGAAAAAAAAAATCCTGCCTTCCTGTACACTTGCATAATGCTGGCAGCCACGTGAGGGAAGTGACAAACGGGGAGAAAAAGCCACTTTCATCCTCTCCAGTTTACAGACCTGTGAAGGCACAGACAGTTCTTATTTCAACAGAGTTTGGGGTGGCTTTTTTAATTGTTTATCCCCCACCCGCACACATACACTCTTATTCTGCATTTAGCTGGGAATGACATTAAAGCGTCTCCACTTCTTGCTGAAATGGAAAGAAGGTTTTTCTCCATTTCAAATAGGGCCTCCTTTTTTGTGTTTCGAAAATGGAATGTTTAACACCATGAAATCCCTCTCCCCCGCCCCCTCTTTCTCTGTAATGGGCTTCAAACTCCAGCGAGGGGCTCTTTTCATGGGAAGGTTAGTGTGTGCAGGAATGAGGACAAAGGAAAGCAGGAAGCTGGCTCTAGAATGCCACGCTGGCTACAATGGGGGCTGTGCTTTCAGCAAACACCGCCAGGGAAATGGGGTGCAGATGTCTCCAGCAGGGCCTGAGCCCCGGAGGAGGCCGCTCTTGAGGGTGCAAAAGCAACAAACACAATCTGAAGATAAGCATTCAACCAAGGGAGCACTGCCCCCAAGAATGCCTCTTTCTTGTACTACATTTCCATTTTTATCACGTCCCTTTTAAGTGTAAAATCAGGAAAAGGGGTGACCCCCCACAACTTTACGACATATGAACGTATTATCTGAAAATACTGATTACACAGGAAGATTCTTATGTGTCAACAAACTCACCCCTTACAATATAACCCAAAGCAACCATTTCATTAATTCTCTTCATTCCTAAATAGCTCAATGCTGGTACACAGTAGGCACTTGATAAATAAATGTCTGTTAAAAACAGGGCATTTAAAAATGTATCTAGATCCTTTATGTGACGGAAAAGCAATCATATTTAAGATAAAATAAAAGAGGCTATTTTAATTATGCTCCATCTGATAAATGGCTAAAGAGTCAAGCGATTTAAAAATACATAACCTTGCGAATTCTTGTTACAGTCACATCTTGCTGACAGCCATTTTTCACAAACCAAATAATTATGACTTTTGCTCATCAGGAGAGTCAATTGAAGAGAAATAAGGGAGAGTGCACAATCTATTTCAACTACAATACAGCCACCGCTTGGAAATAGATTTAAAAATTTCGTTTTTCTACAGAATACAATGTTTTACTTAAGGGGGAAAAAAATCAAACAAATAAGACAATTTTTCAAATGCTCAGGTCATCAAAAATAGTTGGAGAAAGAATCGCATCTCTAGAATAGTAGTGTGGGTGTTTACTCTGAGAAGCACCACTCCCGATATTGATTTTCAGGAAGTACATTAATAAAGAACTCCTAATTGATTTTTTTTTTAAGACTTCGCTTGTTGCCTTTTATTTGAAGGTGCAAAGAAGGGCCTGGGATGCTAAAGTGTTCTAATGAGATGCTTAGCTAACGGAGGCACCTTAAACGGAGTGCCTTGGAGTGGGGGAGGCGGTAGCTGCATTTAATGACTTCATTCAAGAGTTGAGCTAGTTTACGAGCAGAGCCACGCTGTCTCAAAATTTTTGAGAGTTGACCTTCAAAACACGCTTGTAACCAAATAAACGTTCAAAGGTGTGCAAAACTCCACGGAGTTGTTTTGCCAACGAGAGCGGCAGTGGAAAGCCTGTATAGCTTCTGCTAAAAAACCAAAGGGCAGGGTACGTACCTGTCCGAAGTGGACAGTGATTGGCCTCCGGTCTTCTCGGAGCTTAGGGTCCTTGGCCTCCACCAGTGGGGACGGCACAGTCTTTGGCGGCTGCTCTTCCATGGTGGGGGCACAGCCATTCTCGGTGATGTCCTGCAGAGAGAAGCCAGTGGAGGTTGGTGTTGGGGTCGCGGCACCTGCTGTGTGCAGATGCTCCCTCCAGGCCCATGGCCAAGGGGCCTGCCCCGGAACACACCCTCTGGGATGTTCAGAGCCTGTTTTCCTCTGGGCGATGGAGGAAGCAGAAGGCTAACTTGGCTCTTTGACTTTTAAGGATTAGAGAAACCCAAATCATACACGTTAAATTACAAAAACCAGGTAACGATTCGTAACAGTGGGGGGAATGTCTTTTTGTTCTATTACCTTGCACAGCTATTTCCATTTTTACATATTCACTTTGTCCACATGCAGACATTTAAAAATTACTTGCAATCACAGCTCATGCATAATTTTACATTCTATTTTCTCCTACTATATTATAAGCATTTCCACAGTACTAGTCATTTTAATGATAATTTTAATAGATGCATAATATTTCATTGAGTGGCTATATAATAACTTAATAACCCACTCTACTGTTATTGGGCATTTAGGCTATTCCGTGTGTGTGTGTGTGTGTGTGTGTGTGTGTGTGTCTTTCTAAACACCGTAGTGATAAACATTGCAGTTTTTCTTTCTTTTGGATTATTTCTTTTATAGAAATCCCTAGGAATAAAATTACTAAGTCAAAAGATATAAACATTCTAAGCCTTTTTTATTCATTCTACCAAATTGCCTTGCAATTTACACCAACTACTGACAATGGATGAGTTATCAGCTTCATGGTACTTGTTAGCCTTATCATTTAAAAAAATGTATTGCTAATTTAAGAGGTGCAAAATTAGACCTCATTGTTGTTTTAATTTGCATACTTTGTTATTTGTGAGTGTGGACGCTTTCTCCACACTTGCTTCCTGATGATGTTACTGTCTGTGAGAATGAGGTGTTTATGCTCTATCTTTCTTAGCCTTTATCTTTCTGGCAAAGAATGAAGAGACCCGGGTCTGAGTTAGGATTTTATGACTTGGAGAACACTTAAGGAACCAAAAAGTAATATTTTTAAATTCAGAAATTTACACTGAATTTGGACTTCTGGTGAATGAAGTCAAAGTATAAAGAAAAGAAAAACCCCACTGTGCAAAAGGCAGGGAATGGTTCCTTTGGTTCTTTGGGAGGATGATGGTGCCCACTTGTGCTCTATGGACCACATGTTTTACTCAAGTCATGAACGTTGCTTAGATTCTCATTGGAACAAGGCAGAGAATAAATGTACAAATAAAAAAATTTTAAAAACCCCATTTAAATGATAATAATTTTTTTTTTACCAAGTAAAAATAACTCCCAGTCAGAATGAAATAATAAAGGAAGGGTGCCTGGGTGGTTCAGTTGGTTGGGTATCCAACTTCGCTCAGGTCATGATCTCACAGCTTGTGAGTTCGAGCCCCGCATCAGGCTCTGTGCTGACAGCTTGGAGCCTGGATCCTGCTTCGGATTCCGTCTCTCCCTCTCTCTCTGCCCCTCACCCGCTCATACTCTGTCTCTCGCTCTCTCAAAAATAAATAAACATTAAAAAAAATTTTTTTTAAAAGAATGAAATAATAAAGGAAATTTCCAATTCTTTTCATTGCTAAAACAAAGACATATTTCGGTCAAGACACACGCCTTTAGTACTCATTAAATTCTGCACACAAAAGACTTGACAACTGGTTGCTTTTAACCTAGCCAAATAAAGAGAATGGTGGCCAATGGAACAAAGTGGTCCTCTCTCGGATAATAATGCGTTAAGGAAGAAACACACATAACATTTGTGAGCCTCAATCTCCTCATCTGTAAAATGGGGATATGGTAGGTAGGAGGAGTAAAGGAGATAAAGCAACATAAGTGCGTCTAGAACATTATTACTCAATAATGTCCTATGTACAGCACTTAATAATAATGGAGTACTTACTAATAATAAGGTATAGACTTTATTATAATAAACTCCAGGGATCTATCTATCTATATTCAACCCCACACACTCAGCTGCAGACTCTGGTCCTGCCTGGTGACAACACAGGGAGGTGATGGCCTCTTGGTTTCACAGGAAGGGCTTGCATTAAGTGGCCCCCAAGTCTTAGCTCGGCTGAGGCTGCGTGATGAGAGGCTGCCGACAGCCAATTAGAAAGGGCTCTTTTGGAAAGGGGCTGCCCTAAGGTGCTCAGGTCAAGTGGAACAAAGAGGGGGAGGGGCTCCATCTGCACCAGAAAGTAACAAAGGGCAAAGGGGGCATTCTGGATCCAGGTGGGGTTACTGAGAAGACAGACACAAAGGTTGGGTAAAGCCAAAGAGTGAAAAAAAAAAAAAAAAAAGAGAGAGAGAGAGAAAAAGAAAAAATAAATCCACTTTTAGTTCAGGAAAAATATTGTGCGTGTGTGTGAGTGACTGGCTATAAGAAGCAGTAAGGTTACATGGTAAGAAAATATTCACAGTAATAAAATTATAAGATGATAGCCTTTAAAAAAAAATGTATGTGGTGGTTTGGGGCAAAGTGTCTTAGTTTAAGCTTGTAAGTAAGCACTGTCTTCTAGTTTTGTTTTTACCATCAACTAGCTGATCTTTCCAACCTTTTTGTACCTATTCATTTGTACAACGGGGAGACCACCACCCGCCTGGTGAACTTCAAAGCTACGGGAAGAATGAATTAAAGGAGACAGAACACAAGGGAGCTTGAAAAATGTTACATTCCCGTGCAAACGGAACCTTCGATCTCTATCTCCGGGGGGAAAATGGAAAGAGCGCTGTCTAAGAGGAGCTCCCTTCGTTGTGTTGAGCGCCCACTATTGGCAGGCACTTTTCCAGACCCTTGACCTTCACCGTCGTACTTAGTTTCCACGGCAACCATGAGGTAAACAGGATGATGGCTCTTTTATAGGTGAGGAAACAAGGCTTAAAGAGGGCAACTCACCCAAAGCCACACAAGCTAGAAAGTGGAGGAACCAAGAACTACAGGATTTCTGGCACTTATACTGACATCAACTCATAGCAGCAGCATGCGTGAAGACATCGTGAGCTGAGGAGGTGCTCAAGAGACCGTGAGGTGTGATCCCTGGAAATCCCTACTGTTAACACTGACCTTATGCTGCCGTGCCTCACGGTCTCTTTGCACTTATCTGCTTGTCCCTAAAGACTGCCTTCCTTGGGGTTTGGGTTCTCTGCCCCAGAGCCTGCAATATATAGTAGTACATGCTCTCTAACAAATCTTTGTAAATCGAATTGAACATTTGGAAAGCAAACGTGTCCAATATACAAATGTGCTTGTGTATCAAAAAACAATGCTGCACGTTAATTTTCTTCAGTTAGAAGATCCTGAAGTGCGTAAGACTTCTCACAGTCCCGTGGCTTGCCCCGCTAACTTACTAACTTCTTCACTCTTTCCTGCCGCTGGGGAAGGACAGCTCACTGCTTCCTCCCAGGGAGAGCAGAGCTGGGAGGAGCCCTGGTAAAGAAAGAAATGCGGCCAACTCTGTTGTACCTACTGGCAGAGATCTCACACAGAGCAGAGATCCTGTGATTAAAGAAATTGTGGTCTAAGAACTGAGAAGCTGTCAGCAAAGGGTTTGGGAAAACAGGCACTCCCAAACCCTTCTGGAGGGAACACAAATTGGCAATTTATATCAAAACCTTAAAAGAGGTGCATGCCCTCTGGCCCATTAATTACATTCCTAGAAATTTATCCTAATGAAACAATTAAGAATTCCTGCAACGTTTTACTTATGAGAATACCTGCCTAGAAGAAACCGGAACTAACTTAAGTATCCAACAAAGGGACTGACTAATGTATATATGCCCATCAGACAAAATTTTCCGCAGCCACGCAAAACAAGGACGAGCGGAAGAGAGAGACCTTTAGTGGTCTGGGAAATGCTCAGAATATAGTAAGTGAAAATGCAGGTTATAAAACAAGGCCATTTTCTTTTTGCTTGTCTGATTTGTTGAATTGTCTCCAATAAACATGTTTTTTGTTGTTGTTGTTTGTTTGTAAACAGAAGGGGGAAAAAAAAAGACTATGGAAATGTCATTTTGAAAAAGCAAAACCAAGAAGCTGACAGGAAGGGTAAATCTGTTCCTTCCTTCCCGAGGGGTCACAGGGGAGGGAGGCACTAGACACAGCTGTAGATCGGAGGCCACGACACGGTGGCGAATCTCTTACCAGGAGCCCTGGGGGCCCTACCAGTTCCCATCTCTTGGTAAAGCCAAGGAGTCAGAAAATAATTCAATTCCCATCACCTTCCCTAAGGGTTTGCTGGAATCAAACAGCATGACTAGGGTCTAACCTCCACCTGTCCGTGGAAGAGGCAGGGACATGTACAGTAAGTCACCGGACAGAGTACCTCTGAGAAAGCAGAAGGCAGAAACCTAGGGGAGGCGGGGGGGCGCTGAGTGGCCTTGGGTACAAGCTAGGGAGGGGGCTGGACCCAGAAGGAGCTGAGGACAGGACTTCATGAGGCAGAGATGTAGGTAGAGACTTCCTGGCCCAGGGGTATGCAGAGAGCACAGCCCGGTTAAGGAAGGGCAGGTGACCCGGTGGCTGGGGCATTTCAAGAACCCCCTGGCTGAGGTGGAGGAAGGTTTGAAAAGTCTGAAAGGTTTTAATCAAGAGAGTGACTCAGAGCCGTGGCCTAGAAAAATTGCTCTGGTGGCTGTGTGGATGACCAAAAGGACGGTGACCCCATGTCAGCCATGCTCTCAGGGTATATGCACACGTGGGTGTCTGGGCAGATCGGCTGCTCCGATGTGGGACATGAGGAAACGAATAGGATGAAAATTCCCACTTAATGAGTGGCTACTAAGTGTTGCTGTTGCAAGGCATTACCTCTTCTAATCCTTACAACAATCCAGTAAAAATGGATCCTTCTCCTAGTTATAGATGAGAAAGAACTGGGTTCAGAGAGGTCTAGTAACTTACTCAAGGTCACACAGTTAATATCCTACACAACCGGCTTATCTACCTCAGGAGCTCAACTACCACCCCGTGGCATCAGGGGTTTAAAGGCAGGTGTGAGGCTGAGCCCTTAATATCTGCGACTCAGATTACTGGTCTCCAAGTTCAGATTCGTGCAGCGCCCTTCTTTTCCAGTCTACCTCACGCCGCAGCAAATGAAAATTAAAATGTGGATATTGATATCGAAACAATATCCAAAGTTGGAAATTTCTGTGAATGAGGCTGCGCCGTTATTTTAATGTGTTGGAGACAGGGAGCTGACAGTTGTGTGATAAGGTGTGAAAATGTCTGTTCTACGCGAGTCTACCTAGATCTGCCTGCCCCACACGCGCTTACTCCCTTCAGTACACCAGGAGATGTTTGGCCAGAAACTCGAGGCTTCGCTAACCCAGCTGTGAATTTGCTCCTTTCCATCAAAAGCTCTTTATCAACAAGCTCGATTTGTTTCTCCAAGATCAAAGATTTAAAACTTTAAAAAGGGCTGTGAAATGGGCCCATTCGATTCAGTCACTCTAATATGGAAGAAAAAAGGTAATTCTTCAGGGGTTTCCCAGGAGACGACAAAATGACATTCTGATGTGAATATCTTAATGCTCCTTGCAAGTGAGAAGGAGCGTGTGTGCGGCCACTGTTTTCCAAACAGCACTCCGATGCCACCCTCGCGTGACGCTGTAGGAGTGCAATCTGTTGACAGTCACAAGCCCAGCCACACGGCGGCGCTCTTCTGGAGGCCAGGTCTGGTGTGGTG